AAAAAGTTCTTAAAAATAGCAGCTATTATGTTTCGATGATAGATATCCTTGTACTTCAAATTACACACTATTACTCAGTATTTCAACGTCGATTCAGACACCTAAAATGTGAAATAATCCTTATATATACTATAGCAACCTAATCCAACAGCGACCTCGGTCTTAAAAGGATTACGTTTCGACAATCTGAAGCAGTCTACTACTGACCCCCCAGCACATCCTTTGTTCATCGTTAAATCCGTTATGTGCGATTTTGAATTACGACCAAAATGTTTATGTGTATGTGTCAGTGTATATACACTGCCTTTCCTAAAGGTCCCAAAGGACTCACTTTATCCTCTTACGATATCCCCGTGACGTTGGGTCCCATAGGAAAAGTTTCAAAGGGAGGAAAACACAGCTAATTGATTTTTTTTTAACTAAAAAAATATAGTTTTGCACACATTATGACTGTATAATTATATTTAAAAAAACATTTTACCACAAATATACCGTATGAATTACGTGATAAAATTTTTAAAAAGTATATAATGTACTTTAAATCCTATCACTAAAATAACAGTATAACAAGATTTCAAAATTCTTAAAACTTTGTAGATGATATTTGTATAAATATTATGAAAAATCAAACCATTTGAATATGACGGAATAGAATAATAACATTTAATATTGAAACAAGTCTTAATATAATATGTCTATAAATGTTCAATGAATATAAAAATCTCTAAGCACATCACATGAAACAGATTCTTTTTTATACTAAAATAATTTATCTGCCTAAACTTATTAGTTGTAATCCAATAAAATTTACTTTCGAAATATACATCATAAATAACTTAAATTCTATTTACGAGTACTTGAAATAATTTGCAGATTTCTTTCTATTTTCCAATGATATCTAGTAAACAGTTTTTATTATTTAGTGCAACCTGTTTTAAAAGTATTAAATTAAATTTTACTCAATAAATATCTTCAAAATATTGCGTTCAACTTTAAAAAATCTACTTAAAAAAAATAATTAAGATGACAAAATCTAGCTTATCAAGTTTTTCTGCTCTAACTTGAAATAATGGAATATAATTAATGTATAATATATAATGTATATAAAATAAAATTGCAGTATTAAAACTACATAAATAACCATAATTGGTACCTATGCATTAAACGTGTAAATAAATTAAATCATATACAACTTTACATTGATATAAGATTCTATCAAATACTATCGTTATCTAAATTACGATATTCTGTTTAAGACTGCAATACTAATTTATGTTAAATTCTAAAATTAATTTGAAATCGTGAACATAATTTTCTAGATCAAGTATTAAGCGTATTATAGTAAAACATCCATAAAGTTAATTAACGAGCTTAGTTGAAACTAATGAGAAAGCTTTGAAGTATATTAAAATATCAAAAAATAAATTAAACGACAATACTTAATAGGCCACGCCTTGATAAAACAAAAAACTAACACATGTATAAACATGTTATGTGAAAGCAATAATATTTAATTTTAAAATCTATTTAGTAAAACTATTAAAACTATCCATGTTTTAAAGACTTCAAATACTTATTACTTATCAAATGCTATGAATTGTAAAACCATGCAATCGATTAAATAATTTATTTTAAAAGTTGGCTTTGTATACCTATCAATTAATAACTTGAGTAGTCTTTTTATTTTTGTTTATTAATTAATACCATCTATTTTATTTCTACATATATATATTAATGTAGAAATAATTTATTTTTAATAAAGTGTTATCTCATTTTTAGATTTTGATTGAAGCAAAAACGTATTAGTTTTATAATAATGAATGTTATTTTTTCTAGTAAAAAAATCCTTTGATCATTAACTTTAAAGAAAATTTGTGACAGTGAGGTGAATCAATTAGTACTTTTGAAAGGGAAAATAAAAATAATTTAAAAAAACCAAATATTTAAAAAATTGTTCATAGTTAAATTATTATTATAATTGTTTAATATCAATTGTTACCAAACAGTGAGACTGTTTTCCTTCACAATCGTTTCTTGTCGTGTACAACAATTTATCAATGAATTTAAATTTAACATAATATTCATTAGTCATTACAGTTTTTACTCAACTATAAAATGTTCTGAAAAAATTAAATAGTTAAAATTCTCCAACATGCTTATAATTTATGTGATCCTTATAAGTCTTAAATCTATTCTTTTTTTTTTTTATTATTATTCAAATATTTCATTCTTACTCGGAAATACTTTTGCAAAGACTAGTTAAAAATAAATATAATAAAACTGTCAAAATTAGTTTTATGATAAATAACAAAAATACTTTACGTAATCAATTGAAATTAAAAAAAAAAAACTAATTTGTATAGCCAAATTTGAATTAAGCCGAAGGATAAAATTAATTTTCATGTAAAATATGAAGTTAAATATATTTTAAAAATCTATATCAATAATAAAGAAAACAATCGAAGAAATATTGTAATTATAATAATTTTTTTAGATTAAAATGTACATTACTCACTTTTTAATTTGTCAAAATGAATTTATTTGCTGGTTCGGTTATAGTTTTGTCTTATTATCATCAAAAAATTAAAAATTTACATTCATACTAAAAATAATTTTTTTAAATTAAATTTCTTTGAAAAATTTTATACACTTTTATAAATATATAATATGCTTTTAATATTTCAAAATCATCTATACGAATATTTAACACGCTTGTTTGGCTGTAGATATGGAAAACTACTTAATTTTAAAACTTAGAGTTTGTTACTTTGATACTATAAATTTTAATTGTATTTTAAAATATTACATGCATTACATACAAATTTATATTATGCAAACAAATATTTAGGAATATTTCAATTTCTATATGTTATTAAAACAATATTGTTTTCATGTTATAACGTCGAATTTCTAAGAAGTTCATCATCAGAGTTTATTTCTAATTCAATATTTCCCGAAGGTCTTTTCAATTTTATATTGACTGCTATAGCGCTATACTGTCACAGCACGTTCCAATTTAATAAACAGTGTGTCACGAGAATAATGGACACACACTTTTATATTTCCTTTTTTTTTTCAACAATAAGGTTCACCTGCGCGAAGAAAAAACTCAGACCTCCATTTTCACAAACTTCGATACAATTCTTTCAAAATATCTTAGAATAACACTGCAAAATAATAATATTTATAGTGTCAACCATCCAACTGACTTTTTAAAATATTATTAAATTGTACCAGAAACTATTTATATATATATATATGTATGTATGTATTGTGATAAATAAATCTTAAGATAACGATATTTTTTTGATTTAATTTAACAAAAGCATTTTTATCTAAAAAGAAATAAAAACGATACAAATATTTACTTTTACACAAAATACACTCATCTATTGTAATATCAGACAAGATTTAGTTATTTATTCTTTAAGATACAAATAAAATAGAAATCTGATACGAATCCATACTTAAATAATAATATACTGTTTAAAAATAATTTAAATCTATAAAATATTAATGTATTATTATATAATATATATACATCCAAACAGTTCAAACTAGTAGTTATAAAAAAAAAAAAATAATAAATAAATAAAGCTATATCCAAACTTAATTAAATAATAATAGTTAAGTATTCGATTATTATCGGCATACATAATATGGGTGTATACCAATAATTATCGTTATTATTTTCAATGGGTAATCAAACATTTTAAATACTTTAAACATTATAACTGCATAATAGAAAATAAATATTAAAACCAAGATTATATTGCTAATAAAATAATGAAGTTTACGAAAATATGTCTGACCTACTGCAACTAATATTTGACCTAATATCTAAATATATATAAATAGTACCATCTATACTTACAAAACCAACAAATTTGTGTACACAAATTTTGAAATCGTAATCAAGAATAACTATTAATATTAATATTCGTATAAATACAAGGTTACAAGTTCTTGAGCACAAATGCATTGAAATTGCCTAGTTGTTGCGCCGACATATTGCTATAAGACAGTGAAAGAGTATAATTCTCTTGGGGTTATAATTTCCATTACGCCGAAATGTGTAATCCTTCACCTAAGCTAACGCAAGGCTTTCAACTAATAACCCATTACTGATGATTTGGATTACAATATAAATCATAAGCCTCTTTACGAATACTTATTTAATATATTAAACGTACTGTAAGAGCCAAAAAGCAAAACTATATTAATAACAATTAAAATGAAAACATAAAAACAAGTATGTCTACTTATTATTTTGTTCATTAAATCTCTTTGATATATATTTCAATATAATGAACTCTATACGGTGTAACCTTTATATATAATGGTTAGAATAAAAAATTGATGTGTCCGCTTTTTAGGGGTTTCTGTAAATAGGCGCTACGCTGTATTATAAATTATAACTTATTAAATGTATTATAGAAATCTAAAATATATGTATGCATAATTTGGATTTTTTGATCTATAATTTTAACAATATGATGTAACATAGTTAATAATTTTAAATCTACTTATTTTGCAGTAATTGTTTATTTATTTCCACCTTTTATATTATTATTTAAAACAAACACACGTAAATAGATAATGACTTATTTAAGCCATTGAATAAACTATACGAGTACCTAACCTAACCTATACGCGTATATTTTTGTCTGTTGCAATTAAGCATTGTCTATACTTTTTAAATCAAAAAGTTTTGGAGTTTTATTATTATTATTATTATTATTGAAAACCATAATACGAATAAATATAATTTTTATAATTATAACTCTGAAAACAATAAATGTAATTTAATCGATTAATACTCTTATCATTGAAACATACCGATAAAAACTAATAGAATTTCTTCAAACGAATAAAATTCATATCTTTTATTATATTATAATAATATTATTAATTATTAAAAATGTCTGGAGTCATTAAAATAATTTCTATATATAAAAAAAAAAAATAATAACCACGTTAGCGCTTTCTATCAATATTACCTTTAGGTAGTCCTGTTTTTCATCGCCGCAATCTATTGGAGATTTTACGAACTCAATGCGGCCACCCTCGATACAAATATTAGGGGTAGTTGTATTTCCACCGTTGATGGTCGCCATTTTCTTTCCCGAAGCTCCACCAATAGGTAGCGGCACAGTTTCCAACTTTCCATAGCCTACAGATGCTGTATCTGACGATACTAACACTGGCTTTAGTGTTTCGTATGTTACTGAATAATCTGAGTTGTTATCACACACCGGAAACATTTGTCTAAAAATAAAATAATGATTACAAACTTTAAATTATACAAAATATCAAATAATTACAACAAAATTGTTTTTTTTTTTTTTTTAAAGAAATTTCACTATAAAATAATCGTAACAAGCTATCAATTCAAATAATAATTTCATAATGAGCTCTATTTGTGTAAGTTATATTCTACGTCAACTATCTACCTTAGTTAAAATAAAAGATAACAAAAAAATTTAAATTATATAATTTATTTAAATTAATTATGTGTAATTTATTAAAAATAATTAAAAAAAAATCTTCATAAATTACAATATAGTATTTATATTGTCTTTTTCATTTTAAATAAATAATGTATTTTCAACTAATGACCTAAGTATTTAAAGCTCTACAAAGAATAAAATATATTCATATTATACAAATGATTATTAATAATTATACAAATAACATAACATGATGTTATTTTTAAATATAGTAATAATATATTAAGTATTGAATTTATGAAAAAAAAAAAAAAAATAAGTATTAAAAGTTCTATTATAAAAAAAAAAAATAACCATATCATACATCAAAACCATACATAATTCAACATTTAGGATTTGTATAATCATGTTAAAGTTTATTTTTAAAAAGATTTTAAACATATGATCTATTTCTAAGAAATTAACTCAATTTAAAAATGTATATACTATGCAATTTTAACTTAATTTAAAATTAATTTATGAGTACCCTAATACTTTATTCATTGATATAGATAGACATTTACTTATTCAATTTTTCTTTATTTATTGAAATTAAACAATTATAAAAGTAATTTATTCTTTCATAACTTTGTCGTAATTGGCGTTTTTGAACATACCAATATTTAATTTAATTACTAATGTATAGAAATCATTGTTCAACCGTAAATTCATAAAAAAAAAAAATCAAATATGGTATTTGAGTTGATTATGCTTAACCGATATTTTATTAAATATATGCATTGTCCAAGATGATTGTATAACTTAAATTTAGATAAAAATATAATTAGTTGTCAAAATGGGTCAATTATTTGTTTTAAAAAGTTTTCCTTCATTGATGTATGCAACTATCAACATACTCACATAAAAATTAGACTTTTAAGACATAATATAATATAATACATCGTGTTGTAAGAATACCAACTTAATATTATGCGTTCAATAAGTTAAATTTAAACAATTGATTGATTTAAGTACCCATATAAAAATGCAAACTACGTATTGCGTAATATCTCATTTACATTTAGTTATTGCCACAGCAACAGTATTTAGTATTTATTTATGACTTAATTTTGATAAAATTATACAGGTAATACAATATTTACAATAAAAAATTACGTATAAATATATAATTAATTTATTTTATACGCATACATCCATCGTTATTATTTTTAATCAAAATCTAACATAACTATACCATATATAACTACATAAATGTACGCGGTTTATGTAGGTAGAGGAATAGGAATTTTATAATATAATTTATACATGATAATTATATAAATATTATTTATTTTTTTTATGAAGGTAACAAACATATACATATAATATAATATGATATAATATAATTATTTTACCTTAGATTTAACATTGAGATTGGAGTAGACGATTGTAACGCGACAAATCTGTACAACGAGTTTTCTTATTTTCAATATTTTATTGGGCACATTCAAATTACATAGCAAATCAATTTTAAGTTGGCATATGACTAAAATATAGTACCTATGTTATCATCTAACAACCACAAAATAGTGAAAGGTGTGTTGTACGGATTGTGAATGTCAAGAAATAAGATCGTATTGTCCTCGTGCGAAAAAATGAATAACTTTCATCACATATTTATTATACTTGGTATACCTATACCTATATTTTATTGTGTATTATACACAAGTGAGTATCATTACATTACCAAGTTGTCCGTAAATAACAATGTAATAACTAATAACTAATAACACGAGTTTTATAAATTTACGCAGCTAGTAGTTCAATTGGTTTAGAATTATATTAATATAACTATAAATGTCTACTAAATGCATCTACTTTTAAATACATTTATTTGTGTATATTCTAATAATTATAGCATCAGTTATCTAGCATATACACTAACGTACTGTTACGATTTGTATTTACTCAATAAAAATAATTGTATTTTAGATAGAAATAAAACAGCGTTAGTTTTTAATATCCTGTTTGTTTTATCCCATTATAATAATTAAGAGCAATAATGTTCAACTCCGGAATGAAACAACCTCATGAACATGAAATTAATAATATGTACAATTTAAGAGCTACTATAGTTTACAATGTTATAAGTGTATAATAAGTGAGCAATATAAACATAGATACTTTTTAATTAGCTGGATATATACAAAGAAACCATAAAAAAAATTTTTTAATTAAAATAAAATAATTAATGACTTTCATTTATATTATATTTTTAACATACCGAAAATTATTTACGTGTATCTTTTACAATTATTTTTTTTGTTTTCGCTGACTTAATTTAAATAAATAGTTAAACAAAAATTAACGTTTAAAAATTCACACTTCACAGATACTTTTTTATTGGCTAATTACAAATATTAAAATCTTCCATTCTACCAAAAATTTAAGGAGTTTCAACTTTGGTTTGATCATAACAAAAAAATGTTATAAGGTTCTTGAATTGATATATTTAAGAACTATTGTTTAAAACATTGCGAATGAAAAATACTTTCTATGGGAAAATACCATATCCAAACAATAAAATTATTTACACTTATTGATACGGCTTATATAAAATATAATAATTATGATATATTATTTTGAAAGTAATCTTAATTGTTATACTTATAAAACTTTTAAAATTAAATTTGTTTTAAAATATCTGACTACGCGTGCTTATGTTTAATAACTATTATTACCTACTATAGGTACCACGCAAATTATCAGCGGTAATTGTATAAATTACAAAAATATACGAGCGTATATGGCCTTTTCATCGTGAATCAAATTCAAACGAACGTTCGTATTGGAATATAGTTATCGTAATCACTAAAAGCGTAAGTCTATATTTTATCATCTATTCTAAAAGTAAAATATATATGTCGGGATGTTGAAAGGTTTATTATGTTCTACATAGATACATGCGTAGCGGGCCTCCCACGTATGTTTTTCAACTCAATGTTGTAGTTAGAAATAAAAATAAGAACATGCGGACTGTGCGGAGTTTTGCGTAAATTATTATACAATAAGCCGCGTGGTACGTACAAATACATGTAATTTAATGATTATCAATCGAAAACCTACACCGAGTCATCTTCGTTTTTCCCCTTTCTCTGTGTATATAAATGTATACAATGACTACGGCATGATAATAATATACGACGATTATAATATATAGTATAACGATGTTACATATACGCGTAATAAACCATGCATATGTATATAAAATAAATAAATAATAATAATGAAAAAAAAAACCACCGATGGAAGTGTATAATTATTATTGTTATCAGAGGTAACGGTCGAAAACTCATGCCGCCACCACCGCTGCCGCCGCCGGGCAACTCGATCGATAAAAGTTATGTCCGCTTCGCGGTATCTCGGCGCACAATGCATACGATCCGAACCAAAGGTCAGCCCTGTTGTTTGCGAGGCGTAAACAAAATATTCGATTCAAGGTCGTCCAGTTGTGTATCCCTCCCGATTCTCCCCCAGGGCCTCGCCGCGCTGTCCTAATCCAACAGCTGCTGCACGCTAAACTCTATATACTCATATAGTCACACATAATCCTATACATATACGTAGGTATAACTTACTATATTTTAATATTATTGTCCTATATTAAACATGCGCACAATATGTAATTCTATAAATATATATTATATTATATTTTGTACATCCGCAAGTCTGCGAGATCGTTACCAATGCGTGCATCATTCCCGATGCACGCAATCAAATAAAAATATACTAAATACACGTCTCCATTTTTATGTGTATGACATCATATTATTATTTAATTCCAATGGTTTAATTTTAAAAACAACATATTGTATAAAAATAAAAATGTATAGAGTATATGTTTTCGATAATGTGCAAGAGTATACATTTAACAGTTAATACGTCATAGCAAATATTATAATATATGTGAAGAAGCTTTTCAATTAAAAACGGAATATAAAATATAATTCCAATTTAAATAATTCATAAAAATGTTTCAAATAAACGATAATACATTTTGACAAATGTTAATATATATATAAAAGAAAAAAACTAAAATAGATTATAATACCGCGAGATGCAAGATGTAATTTTTTACACTGAGTACAAGTGAAATAATTAAAACTATTTCTGTATGTACATTTTAAACCACTATGTACTCTGTAATAGTATTTTATTTTAGATTCAACCCTAAAGAGTGTCATTATTTAGCATTCTTATATATAAAATAAAAATTAATAAAAATATGTATATATTATATCTTTATGACATATCCATAATATAAAGTACAGGGTATACTCACCAAACCTGTATTGTTAATAATAAAATAAGATCCGTCGTGTACATCGTGACAAACACATATAGTAATTATTGATCGAGAAATACACAAATACGTATGAGCTATATAAAGTTTTTCACCCTTTAATCTATTATACATTGTATGTAGTTATACACACATTGTATGAATAAATTATATCTACCATTTACAAAAAGTCTAAATAAAGCGTATCGTATAAGTATAATAACTTAAGAAATTACATAATATTAAAATTTTAAAGCAGTTAGACTAAAATTTAATTGCCCATTGATAATATCAACAACAATAATTCTACCAGTATTGATGAGTAAACAATATTTTCTAAACAAAAATATTTACGAAAACAGAAGACATGAATGTTTGTATCAAATATTACAATAACAACATTATTAATTATTAAGATAAAATAACTAAACATCTATTGTTCTATAGCACTACACTAAATCGCTAACAAATAACAATACATCTCCATACTGTCTAATTTGAGGTTAACGTTATTGAAAGGATATTTAGATTTACAATAAATAAAATATTACCATTTTACACTTCCTGATAAATACAAATATTTTCATTCATACCTATTTAAATACAATAATAAAATACGCGAACTATTATTACACAAAACATAACGTATACACATAATAACTTAAAAAATTATGTTTGAAATTAATTTAAATTCATATATTACACTACATTATAACGTAATACGATGTCATTGTTTTTTTTTTTTCAATAAAATTTAAATATATTATTTTTTTAAATCGAGTTTACTCGAGATCTAATTACGGTTAGGGGCTAAGAAATGAGTAATAGTTCAACAGTTATAATATTCACCTGGCTGAACATAATTTGTTGATATGAGAGTCCGGAAGTACGTAAGCATTGATTGGTTCAGAGTATTCGTTGCCACAACTTAACATCAGATCATCGCTGTTTTCACTTTTCGTAACCCTGAAACACGCGATGACATTGTAATTAATACATTTTATTTGAAGCAGAAAAAATCTAAGCATGTAGGTACATAAACTGTATAATTTAACACAGAAACTATGGTGGCTAGTATAGATGATAACTGCATAAAGAGTAGTATAATATTATGATAAATTAAACAACATATCTGATATAGATATTACCCACGGGTTCAAAATGATAACATGAAATATCCATGCCAAGCCCTAAATGTGGGAGTCGAAAAATTCAAATTTCAGTTACGGAACCAAGTATATTCATGACGACTGCCCACGACGGTCGTAATTACTACTACCAATACCTGCAGGTAGGTTTCCGAGGGCTATTAAACCGTTTAGGATCATTATATTTAAGAAGCCATTCATCATTTTACGGACGTCATAACACTCTAAATCCTTTTTTTTCTCCATTATTGTTATATTTTTTTTTTCTGTATTTTTGTTCATGTGCATTTACTCAATATAAATGGGAAAATATTCATAGTTTACAATGTATGTTATTTTTTTTTTTTTTCAATAAAATATTATTATACTGAACACACCGAGTGGCACAAATACCAATATTATAATAACATCACTACAGCTGTGCAGTTAAAGGAAAACACTATACTAATATTATATACTCGCGGTTGGTTGTATATGTTATATAGTACTTTAGTTATACACGTAAAATACGAAACGACAAAAAGTCTCAAGCGTATGCGACAATTTATTTTTTGTTTTTTTGTTTTTTTTTTTTTTTAATGCTCTGTAATGCATTTCAAAAGTAATAATGCAGTAAACAAATTGTACAGGTAAAAATGATTTGAGAGTTAGTGGTTTATATTTAATTTGTCGATAAATCAAGATGCAAGAGATATACGAGATATACGAGCGACGATGATCTTAGATATGATCTATGAATTTGACCTCAACAATAATATAATATTATAATGTAACTTGTGAAACCCACGTAAAGACTAACAAGTTTGTCTACTTTATAAAAGTATCAAAATTACACAAATGATGTTATGTAGTCCACATAAAAATATTTTTACATTTCATTCTTTACTTAAAGGTATATGGTACACATCTATATATAAACATTAAACATCTGCTGTTTTCTTATTTTTCAACAGAAAGACATATTATGTAATTGTTACATGTAGTCAACTACGTTTTGTTGAATTTAACAAGTGCACATTATTAAAAATATTATTTTAAATGAAACAATGGAACAATATGTTAAGAAAATTATGAAAAATTTAAAAGAAAAAGCGTATATTGGTTTTTAAATTAAACAATAATATAATATATTATTTTATGTAAGTATAGGTACTTAATACTTAGATTTAAATACTATTTTAAATATAATGTTGCTTAATTATTTACTATGTACTGTACTTAGTAAGTTTAATAAAACATCAATCTTAACTCAAAAACAATAAAATTTCAATATTTATTTTAAATAAATTAACCCTAAAATTAAAATATTGAAATAATATAATTTAATTAAAAATAGTACATAAAATAATGTACATATATCTATATATATTATCATCAACATATTTTTGTATTTAAAAGTTGATATTAAATAAATCTTAGTTATTAGAGATAGAGATATTTTTTAACATGAATGTAATTTTAGTACCAATAAGCCTTTATTAAATATCAACATATCATAAATACATAGAAACACGTGCTTATAATTGAATTTAAAATAAGTGTATAAATACATTTTATTTTATTTTTATTAAGAAAGACAATTTCCAATCTGTACACAATAATTACAATAAGCAAATTTGATATTAACATAGAATAAAATGACATAAGTAACGTGTTAAGGAAGAAACCCAATGGTAACACCTCGCTTTAGTTTGCGTGGTGGATTTTTTTGGAGGATGAAGGTGGACATGCGTATTATTAATGTATTTCTATGCGTGCTTAAATTTTGATGAAAACGTTTGTACATTGTTTTTGCTAATTCAATGGTTGTTGTTATTTTTAAATCATTGTATAATAAAAAGTTAAAAATGTTCTAAGAGACTTTGATTACTAACCTTAGCGCAATTGATTAAAAAGCCTGAATTGGCCTAATGTTCGAGGGTTTAGCCGGACCCCAAATTGCCTTTTCATACGACCAGACTAGTCTTATGATTGACTTATATGTAATAAGTTTGTTTTGGAGTGGTATTTTGGAGTTGAGATGGGGTCGGAGGAGATGAAGTCTAATGTTCGCTAATTTTATTTTTTCTTTTAGATGGGGGGCCCCTGGTTAGTCTTTTATCAAATTTTATGCCTAAGTACTTTATTTTGATTCGGATTTTTTAGTCCATTCGTCGATTTTATTAGCATGATTCTGAAGTACAGTTGAAGCTAGGTTAGAATTTGAACAAAAGGAAAGAATAGTGATATCATCATGCAGCGTATGTTTCAAGAAGGGTGTTATTTGATTGAGGTATATTTGCTATAAATACATTATACAGGTCAAGGGATAAATCACTTCCTTCCGGGACTTCAGCATAAATATGATATAAAAATTATATTTCACGTCCTAATAACTATATATAAACCTACTCTGGGGTAGATAAAATAAAACAAAAGTAAAAAGCTAAATTATTACATTTATAAGTTAAAAATCATTCTTGCATAATCCTGACTACATCCATCGAATAGTTGTCAACGCCCAAATCTATCACAACTACTTACTATTTTTTTATGTCAATTCTCATATTTTTATTTACAATTCATAATTAACAGTCCAAAATCACCTACCATAATGGTATGTTATGCTCTATATTAAATACTATACAGAATAACCAAATTCAAAGTATTTAAAAATACAATTATACGTGTTTGATATCAAAAAATATAATTTAAATTAAAATGTAAACAATAAAGATATTATATAGACTGATAAACAATATATAATACCTATTATTCAAGAATATAGTATACATATTAATATTATTATTTATTAATTGCCTTGAAAATATGGTGATATATGCATATTACTTTTATATGCTAAATTATGAATAATGAAAACATCTATACGCCATAAATTATTTTTTGATCTATAAACATATCTGAAAATCAAAACGTGTAGGTACATATTATGTTTACATGTTAAACATATTATTTTAGAACATTTTCCATGTTGATAAATAATTAACAAAATTAAGTAACTGTCTCCGAGAAAATCTATATAAATGGTTACTATGATAATATTATTATCAGTTTGATCATTAAACACTTTTATTTTAAAAACTAAAATTAATATTATGTAAACATTAGTAGCCAGTTTCCTAAATATCTTTACAGAGAAATATAAAATGTTTAAATCCATCTATCATCATTCAAAATATATACCTATCATAATTATTAATAACTAAAAAAATGGAACTGTTATAAATAATACAATAGGCTTATAACAAAATATAATATAATACTAAGCCGATTGTATTATAGAATTTCCTAATAAAATGCTACATATACAATAATTTAAACAGTCTACCAGACAAAAGTATTCAAATTCTCACGAATGATTGAATTAAGTATTTCACATCGTATTCCAATATGGTTACAATGTTACATTGTATCAAATAAATACGGTCGTCATTAAAGAAAATAGGACAATTTCATAAAAAATACAGCTAAATCAATACAGCAGAGATCTAATCAAGATAAACTATTTTAAGCTATATATGTTTAGCAGATGAATCGCTATTATTATATAATTTGATCGTATGAAAATAATAACACGTAGCGGTAACAGTTAATGATATTGCATATAGGTATGTACACGAAATTCAACTATGATAGTGGTCTTTAAAATGTACCAACGATAATAATAATAATAATAATAATAAAACATGATAATAACGTAGGCATGTATAATATTTAAGTGTAATGTTTATATGAGAATAGGCGAAGGTACGTTTTCCATATTTTTTATACCTCGATTATCAACCAAATGACCATGTATTAAAAAAATAGGATAAGGTGTATAATCATTAAAGATTATTATTATTCACGCACAACACGTAGAAAAGACTTATGAAAAGTGACTGAAGAAAGTACAAATCTGCGATTATTTAGCATACACCTTACTACATTGTATAAAATAATATTTTAGCATGGTTTTAATAAATAAAATAATACCGTATATTATAATATAGTAATAATTGTACCTGAAATACCTGTCCTGTTTTGCCCTAGATTATTTTCTAAGACAGCACAAACTTTTGATTTAAATGGCAGCTGGACGTTTCAAATTTAAAATAATATTGTAATTTCAGAAAAGTAATATCTTTTTGGAAAAATATATGTACATTGGACGTAAAAATTAAAAAGTATTAAAATTATTTTACTACCAATTAACTGCTAATATTGTGTTAATGCATGGTTATTTAACTATTGAATGAAAATATATAGTTTAATTTTTACAAAAGCGACTTAACTATAAAAGTAAATCAGTAATAATAGTAATAGCAATAACAATACAAAATTTCGGCGCCAGACACCCGAAACGTCTGGAAACCAGTGAAAGCCAATGATTGTTTGTATCAATCAATAGAATCTTTTCATCGCCATTTTATTTGTATATTATTAGGTTACCCAATTATTATTCACCCATAAAAATAATAAACAAAATAGAAGATGCTTTTTGATTCATAAAAGTCAGAACTTCTCACTAAAATGTACACATTACTACTATTATTTTTTAATTATTATTATTATTATTATTATATTGTATAAAGATATTATTATTTTTTTAAAGTAAAGTTTTATGCAATAATTTCTTTTCTGGAAATTTTTTATCTAATGTCCAAATTATAGTACTATTAAATTATTTCCGTTTCACTGATTTTTTATAATTCATTATAAAATATATAAATGTTTTTATCAAACGCATTATTAGTAAACATAATGTTTTAAAAAATAACAAAAAAGCTACAAAAATTGTAATTAATACAAAATTAAAAATAATAATGCAAAATTTTC